CCTAGCCATTACTAACACGATCTCTTTCAAACAGACGTAACAGTAATTATTGTGCAGCCCTAGTAACAATGAATCAGTCGTCTTTTTATCTAGGTTATGAACTGATTATTTTTCTTTGTTATTGAAAATAACTGTACAAAAATGTGCTAGCTGCCTAAACAGTAAATAATAGTACAATATTTAATGTAGGGAATTTCTGAATTAATAATTTATAAATTTTCCAGTCTATTATAGTGCCTCTTGACACATCTGGAAACAGTTATGTGATTCATTCAATAAACTAGAACTGTTTGCCAACTAGTGTATGATTAAGTAATATTGTATTTCTGAGTTATTTTTTATATCTGAGTAGTCTAGAAAACAGTGTTCCAGTCTACAAATTAATTATAAGCCTGTACTTTCATTACCCGAAAATGTAATTTGTTAAATTTTACATTTTTCAGACTGGGACACTGACGGAAGATGGTTTGGATCTGTGGGGTGTTGTTCCAAACAAAGATGGTATTCTTGGAAAGCCTGAATTTGAACCATCGAAAATTGAAAACACACCTTTGATTGAGTGTATGGCTACATGCCATTCTTTGACTCGAATAGATGGAGTTTTATCGGGTGACCCACTGGATATTAAAATGTTTCAATCTACTAAATGGGTAAGCTTCAATTCTTATTAAGGTGAATGAATTTCTGTATATGTCTGTACCACCTATATGCTGCAAGAGAATATTAACATTAATTAAAATTACTTTCTTTTCTGAGTGTTGTTCATTCACTCATATATCTTTGCATGGTGTTCCATCCACTGAACTTCATTATGATAGTATTTACGTTGACACTTAAAGAAAACAGTATTTTTAAAGTTTTAACTACTGTTTTACTAATAATACTGAATTCGAAACACACTAGTTCTAAATCATTTTTCTCATGTTTTGTGTGAAACTAATTTGAATCTCAGTATGTGGGGGGGGGGGGAAATAAATCAATGAGCTTGTGGAGCTGCATCCATTCATACGGTTAAGACACGTGTTATGCAAGCCAAGCTATCACCTTTGTTGGCAAAGAATTGGGTTAGAAAATGTTAGAGATGGTAAAAACCGTACGTGGGGCCAATCCATCGAGTCTTTGACAGTTGATTTGAGTCACACAGGGAAATGTAAACTGCCTGATTTGGGTCCTCAGGATGCTTAGAACTAACTGATGGAGACTATTGGTGATTTGGCTCGAAACTGTCCTCGATAGCACAGATGTATTCCCCCCTTGTGATCTCTTGGATACATTAAATCCTCATCGTTCTGCATATAATTATTTCGTCTTGCGTACGTTTCTTTTTACTGTAGTTTCTTTGAATTTTTCATCTCTAGCTTTTTGTGCTGCTTTATGATATGTAGTAGTCGGTCAGTCAAAACTATCACCATCACACAGAATTTAGCATTTAATGTGACCGAGACTAGTGTTAGGTGTTATTCATTTTTCTAGTGGTGAACAGGATTTTAGTTTAGCTTTGGATTCTTCCACTCATTATCATATTTAAGACTATTTTTCGTTAAAAGAACTTAGTAACAAGTAAGTTTATTTGTTTCACCTTAAAAAAAGAAACTGATGCGTCCATATTTATTCGATATGAATGAAGTCTCTATCATTGTTTGTGTAACATGGAATGTCAACTGAATGAAATCTTACCAGAATGTACAGGGAAACAAAGAAAAATCAGTGTTACATAACAGTTGAATAAAAAAGAGGGACGAAGTGGGAGGAAATTCTGAAAGGTTGAAGAGGCCGTTTTACCGTAAAGATAGCATTTTCCCTCTCCAAAGAGTTAAAGATCTAACAATGAAAAGACGGTGAATACTAACAGATTTCGTGGATAACTTTGCATCTCGTAAATTACCTTGGAGAAATAGGCTTATAGCTTTGTCAGAAAAATATCAACAGTGTGTTCAAATTCCTTGTAACACTTACGGTGAAGACTACTACTGAACAACCTAGATCCACAGCCGTAAAAGGGATTTATATGATAAGAAATTTGAGAGATCCTGTTTTTAGGTTGTTGTAAAGCATTGGTCGCCTACGTGTTACTATTGCTAAAATTATATTCTCTTCAGGGGGTTTGAATTACTCCTCTAAAAGATATGGACAATTAATTTTCAAAACCCTCAGTAGTCCGTTCTTGTATGCAAAACAAAAATTGGTTAATTTCTGTGATATTATCAACTGATGTAACTGCGGGAGCAGTTACATTGGAAGAACAGAAAGAAGAGCATATCTACGATTTTCTGAACATGTACCAAAAAGCTTACGTCTAAAGGGAACAAATGCTTTAGGCAGTGCCATCGCCAGGCATCTTCTTGACACGGGTCATGAGGTGGAAATCGAGAAATCCTTTAAAATTATCAATAGACAAAGGAACTCCATTCTCCTCAAGTTTGCCGAAGCAATTTCTATCAAACGCTTGAAACCAGATTTATGTGTTCAGAAAGAAGCAGTTATCAGTCTTTCTTTGCCCTGGTAACTGGATATTTTTCATCCTAATGCGAGATACTAAAAAGTTTTCATTTTGTATGATTATTAATGCTCGGAATTGTGTTCAAGATTGCATATATATACATATATGTATATATTATTAGTGTATGTGTATATCGATCGATTGATTTCTGTTTAAAATGAACTCTGTGTAAGTATGATAAATTGTTATTGTAGATACATTTAATAATGTTTTTGCCCTGTAAGCAGCTGAAGAGAAGGCGACGAAATAAAATATGGTACCATTTTATTCTGCAAAATCTGTAGTTGTTGCTTTGTTTAAATTTCTGTTTTTAATTGAAAGGGATACATCATATTATAATAATAGATCTATGAACGGTATTATCGGGCAGTTAATATGCATTCTTCGACTTTATCCATTTATTTGTAGGAATTTTTGGAAGTTGTGTCAGAAGATCAACACAAGTTTGATCAAGTCGTATCTGCAATCGTTCGCCCCAAAGATACAGAAGGTGATTTATTCGAAGTGAGTTTTGTATAAATGAAACTACATGGTTTTTTTGTCATTAATGAGGTTGTTCCACTAATGGATGTTACGTTCAGCGTATTCGACAAACTTCTAAACACGATCCATTGTATCAGTGTACCGAACTTTGCATATTACCCATGCATAAACCGTTAGCAGCTACTACTCATTTCAGCCAATCAGTAATATGTAGTTTTGACTGAGTTTAACGAATCCAATATTTATTAGCTTTATGTGAAATATTCAAGACTTCTGTGCCTTCTTCACTTAAATTTCTGAGTCACAATTAGATAAGAATACTTTTTTGATTGTTTCATCGGTGATCATTGTAACTGTTTTAATCCTCAGTGAATGTGATATGGATTACTTCTGAAATAGCACCTATAAAATCTATACATGCCGGTGGTGAGTACCAAAACTATACATCCCTTTGCGTAGTTATAACCAAATACACGCAAAATCTAGAAGTAGAAAAACGTTTAGTAATTCTTCAAATAAGTTGCTGGAAATTTTGGAATAACATTGAGGCAATCAGAAGTTAACGGCTTTTCAGTCCTGTTTTCATTCTCTACTTCCATGTTTACTCGATTTTCCAAGTTTTCTTATTCCGTTCGTAGATTATCTTTCTTGTAAAGTAAATGTTAATTTAGCTATAAACACATGGATTACCCCTGATCGTCTGGGCACTGTACAGCACTATCACTTTATGCATATCTAATACTTTTTAGTTTTTCTCACTGGTTCTTTGTTATTTTCATTTATATTGTATTCTTATCCCAGGCTCTCTAAGGGGATGCCACTGTTTAACATCTCAGTTTACTTTTCTTACCTGAGATCACTATCCTTTAGGCATTCTTGTTAATAGAAATCAAAAGATAACAACTCTACTTGTGGCGTTTGAGTCTAGTAAACTGAATTAGGGTTATAATTCGTCATGTTTTTACCAATGTTTTGTTTTGATTGGACACTAGTAACTAGTGTGGTGTGTCTAGTCCTCTCTTTGGTGCAGACTGAATTCTGTCAGTCAGGTTTGCAATGTGGCCATCATTGCAGGTAGCTCGCCATCACAGTGTACATTGATTTGATGATATTAGATGGTTGGAGACAATCGGTAGGAAGTCTTAGACCTAGGTTTCGTGCTAGTCGTCACTTGTCAGCAAGGCGTATCTGCAACCTTGAAGGAACTCATGTCCCTTCTGAGATTCGAACCCGCTTCTGCACCAAAGAAAGGACTAGACACATCACACTAGTTATTAATGTCCAATGAAAGTACCCAGTACAGTCCTACAGGAGGTCAATTGCGAACCCAAATAGCCCAGTGGTAATGTCTCTGACCGCAGCACTGGGTGACACGGGTTCGAATCTCAGGAAGGATATGAGTTCCTTCAAGGTTGCAGATACGCATTACTGATGAGTGCCAACTAGCACGAAACCTGGGTCCAAGGCTGCTTGTCGAATGCCTCCAACCAGCTAATATCATCAAATGTTTTGCTTCATTAAGGTGGCATCATTTTCCTTGTTTTTTTTATTCAAAACGTGTTTTTATCATTGATTTCATAATTTGAGTACGAACTCAACTTCACAAAAATAAATTTAGTTAAAATTTATCACTTTTAAACCACTATATATGCCGCCTTATATAGTTAGATGAATTTTTCAGTCTGACACATGATTTAATATTTATTAAAAGACTTTGGTCTTAGCCTGTGAATGTATGCATCCATGATACACACTGATACATAAGATACTTTCTTCAAACCGGCCAGTCTTTCACTTTTTAATCATGGTATAGCTCATTAACAAGTGCTCAGTTGTAACATCTCAGTTGTTGTTACTATAATAAAAATTTAACTCTAATGTGATTTTGAATCAGCTTGCTCCTGTTAGACTCTAGTATTTGTTATAGTTAGCTATTTCGAAATAAAATTATGGAAATAATTGTTGTTAATTATAGAAGGATAGGCATACTATCTTGGGGTTTTATTCAACTATAATTCCTGTCCCCTAACTTTTAAGACGTTTCACATTTCCTCTGACATTCTCATGGTTCTTTATTGTCGACATTCTTGATAAGCAGTCAGAGAATGTGTTTACTAACTACGTATTTCAAAAGAAAATCCTCCCTAAGATATAGCTAATGAAGTAGATAACAAAACCAGTGGACTATTAAGCCATGTCAATCTAAGTAACATAATTTCGATCACTTGTCTGCTTATTGTATATTCCAGATAACTAAAGGTTCATTTTCAAATGAGGATTTCCTGTCTTGTGATTTATGTTCAGCAGCTTTTTTATTAAAGCCGGCCAAACGTATGAAGAGTTTTATTCACATTAATTGAAATGCATAATAATCTATACAAAAATTTCTGAATGACAGATGAAAACATGTTTAATTCTGATCTTAAACATCATCAAGATGAAAGCTGTTTTCGTTTATTTTTCGATTAGCTGATATACCTTCATAGATAGCTGCATTCAGATAGATGCAGCTTTAAATTATGCTTGATCCTGTTGACTAACTTAAATAGGATATTACTTAAAAATCTTTCTACACGTATTCGTCTGATTTCTGCAGCAAATGAACTAGCATCGGTTCCAGCATAAAAAATTAGAATGAATTTCTCCTTCCATTTACTGTTTAATTAGTGCCAAAGTATGTTTAAGAGGCAGCTGGTTATGAAATCCCTCACAACAGTTCAGTGGAATGTCCTCAAGGAATTTTTACGATATTTGAAAGTGCTGCAAAATAAGTTCCCTGTTTACACAGAAGATTTGTACTTGTTTTGTTACATTTAGTTAACTTCCTAAATGTGTTTAAAATTGAATTACTGATTAGATTTGTGCTAAATATAAAGTGTAGTTTTTCCTGAAGTAAAGATAAATAATTTCATGATGGATAAAATTTTATTTTTTGATAAAATCACACAGTGTTATACAGTAATAAGATTCAATAGTGTGAAATATTCCCTTATCGTGAGTTAAAAGTCAAAGTGAACGAAGAATATTCTTTTCAATAATTTTTCTTCAGGTTCTAACAATTATAAAATATAATATTTGTTGTCGTTACTATAATGGCCAGTTATGCGGTGGATACATTTTTTTACGTAGAATAACAGATTAGTTATGGGGTGTCAGAATATATAGTCATATTTTTGTGACAAAAGCGCTAGGCTGAAATCGATTACAAAATATTGTAAAATAGGAGACAGTGGTGGTTATTGGTCATAATAGATTTCTAGAGTGTGGGGTAGGAAAATTGACAAGTCAGTTCAAGGTTATGAAAGGTGTCAGGTGAGTGGCTAGTGCAGTAATATTTACTGATGACAAGGTTTCAAGCAAAAATTATTGTTCATAATCATATCAAGGTACTCACACAACTTTCTTGCTTCATTTATATACTTGAGTAAAAATTGATTAGAGATCTGAATAAAGTCAATATAAGATAGAGAACATTCGGGAATAATATTACTGTTATCAATAAAATACAATAAGATGAGAAATCAGATGTTTTTTTATAGTAAAATAAATAACTTGTTAGAATGTTATAATGTGAATTGAATACACTTTAACATTATTTATTATCCTCTGATTTGACTGGTTATAATATCTTTCATTTCCCTGGTATTTGCTTTTAGTCACTTCTATTGCATGTGTTGGGTGTAGACTCGATGAACCAGTATTCAGTAATCAATATCTCTCGCTATCTAACTATGTTCCTTCTCAGAATTTCGATTCTGTCCCACCGTACTGTGTGGTTGTATGTTAATGCATGCAGTACTATTGCTGATTTTTTTCTAAATTACTTATCTTAGTGGGATCAGTCATTCTAAATATGTTAAAATGTATTCAGTTCACATTCTAACAAGTTACTTATTTTACTATGAAAAACATCTGATTTCCCATCTTATTGTATTTTATTGATAGCACTAATACTATTTGTGAATGCACTTTATCTTATATTGATTTTTATTCAAATGTCTAGTCAATTTTTACTCATTGATATAAGTATAAAACTTGGGAACCGCGGTAAAGTAAAACTCCATTATGGATAAGATTTCATTTTGATAAATCACACAGTGTTGTACAGTAATATTAACTGATGACGTTTGCTCATAATAGCAATAGTTTGCGCTCGAAACGTCATCAGTTAATATTACTGTGTAGCACTGTGTGATTTATCAAAATTAAAATCTTATCCATAGTGGAGTTATACTCTACCACAATGCCCACGTTTTATCCTTATATCAATAACGATAAATACTTTCGTCAGAACTGATCCTGCTTCTTTCCAGATTAATTGACGCTCTATTTACACTTAGGTTTCACTACTGAATGGTCATAATGGTGTACAGTTAAGAGTGTCTAAATATATATTTATAACCTTAGGTGCATATTCAATCACTGTCTCATTCACGCTTTTATTTCAGGAAATGCCCTATGAAATAGGAATTATCCGTCAGTTTCCTTTCAGTTCTTCTCTACAACGGATGTCTGTAATAACACGAACACTAAATGAATCTCAATTTCATGTATATACCAAGGGCGCTCCAGAAACAATTGAAGTTTTATGTCGACGTGATACAAGTAAATTATTTCTTTGATGTTGAAATAGTTACTTTTGAGATTATTTAAATAAGTGTAAGCATTAACCGCAGCCCAAAGCTATCAGTTCTTGTTGTTTAGTTTGTCTGAATTATACTATTTTCAGACGCGCTAATCTTGCATTTAAACTGATCAAGTGAGAAACAGTAATCTGTCTGCCTAACATTAGGAGTGTAGTCACAAACTGCACTTATTTTATTTCCAACAAATCTGTATTCTGTAATCCTAAACTATTTGTAGCCCCTCTTCACTTATTTAACCTCAAATCATATATCGTTAGCAGCAAAAAATGACATTAAATGTGAAGAAGTAATCCTTGAGAAGCATCAGATTCATATCGATTGCTGTGTGCTTATCTGAGCATTAATGAATTCCAGTAATAAATTAACATAAGTCTCAGAGTGAATTTACTGCAGCGCTTACTGTAATCTAAATAGAACCTTGAAGAAATTGTGCAGCATATAAATCTCGTTATATTGACTAACATTTCTGTTTTTCAGTCTTCCGTTTACATTTTGATTATTTTAGACTGATTTGTAGAACATTATGTTTGGTGCAAGCCTTTTCGTTTCCATTGGCTTAAATATTTTAGTGAATAATTATAATAATAATAATAATGCGAGAATGCTGCTCCAACGACAGTCAAAATAATTTGTTTCAAATTGTTAAATAATTATCTTGACTACTTTAACCGAATACGTGTTTTTCGAGTAGTACTGACGTTTGAATGCTGTCTTATAACTAATGATACAACCAGAATTCTTTTATTTCCAATTCAGTGATAATTTTTTTCTTAGATTATAAATTATTCGAAAATGCGACAGCGTGTTGGTTATTGGATGTTGACATTTTTTGACAGCATCTCACATCGTTCTAGGCATTTGCCATTTTCATAGACAGTAGTTTAAAAAATAACACAGATGAGAATAACTGAATACAATATAAGCAAATACGTATTTTCGGTAATTTCCCATCAGATATTACAAACAAATGATAAAGTGTGAATCGTAGACATTTGAAAGTCAATCAGAAGTCTCGTATTGGCACACCTAGTGGATAGTGAGCGCAAGGTTTATAAAAATTCGGCCTTTATAATTCTACACAAGATGCCAACTCAATTCTCTGAGCCTGCACGCCTTCGATTGCTAAGCACAGCTGACTCAGTTGCGACAAAAAATCTTCAACCCAATTTATGTGTTCAGAAGAAAGTTTTTGCAGACCCTCTCCCTACCATGACCTCCAACTCCCAGCGTAGAATATTTATCTTTCCCGGTGAAACCGCATAGCTGTAAATTTTATCTTTATCTGTATTGCTAACTTTATCATTATTATAAATATAATACTATGCTATGGTTGCATATTTTAATCGTAGCTTCACAACTTATTATGAAACCAAACATTCTATTGTCTAATGGCTATGAGACAATAGTTATTTTCCTATCTACCCCTACAAGTATACACACTCTAGACCATGGTATTTGTGGAGATTTGCATTAATTTAATTTTGACTGTCAGATTTCGTTGGGAACCAAAATCAGCGAGAGAGATAGTTGAAAACCAGAGAGTAATGGGTGGCTGTTTCTCCCTAGCTAGGCAATCTTCAGAAGTGCGCATCTACAACCCCATCAGGCATCAAACCTGGTGTCTGCAAGTTACGGGGCCAAACTCGTTGACCACTCAACCACTTGGACCAGAATGCAATAACCCATAAATTCTAACTTTGTTACATGCCACTTGCACATTCACAATAACTGACCATCTAGATTGTACAAATACTTGTTTGAATTTATCCTTGTTATAATGATCATCACTTCGACTGTTATCCACTAATTCACATGCCTGAACTTTAACTGTATTACCCACATTGGTGTCAAATGCATGTGATGAATATTTTTGTATGCAGTTATGAAACCTGATGAGAAATTATCAAGAACACGTATTTGCTTAAATTGTATTCCATAACTAGCATAATGGGGATATCTTAATGAAAATAAGCGAAATGTTCATATATGTTTGGAAGATTGATAGTTTTGTTGCTATATAATCAGTATATATCCTTACTGAGAACAGTTTATGATTCTGTCTGTTCATACTTGAAAATCAAATTCTAACATCCTAAGAAAATGTTGGATACCTACGATAATCTTTTAATTTGTTATACTGTAGATTACTGAATGTATAAATATACATATATATTCAGAGGATGTGCAAGTTGAGTTCTTAAAATGACTTTTCTATTTTAGTTCCTGCAAATTTCCACTCAAACCTACTGGAATATACTCGAGAAGGATTCCGCGTACTGGCACTGGCTTGGCGTCCGATTAAATCATCTTATTTGCGAATCCTACGATTATCACGTGATAGAGTCGAGAATAACCTTTTATTTCTCGGTTTTCTCGTAATGGAAAACCGTCTTAAGCCTGAATCTGGCCCAGTAATCAAAATTTTACGACAAGCTAATATACGTCCAGTTATGGTGACAGGTTAGTTTACTTCTTGAAACTTTGACGATGCAATTATTTTCTTAACTAAAAAGAATATAAATTAAGAGAACTGGTGTAATCAGGTCGATTTCTTCTGTTTTTCAAACATTCACTGAAATAATGATATAATATGCGTATTTTGTGGCATAGCTGCGCAGGGTACCGTGCGTTACATACCTGTTGTTAGCTGATATTGGCTAGACTTTATGGGGTGATTAAGTTTTACTCTATGTTCTTTAGAATTTTCTTTTTGAAGTGTGAAAAGATTGTGTAATACCCTATAAGATGAGCACACCTCACGGTTTATAATTCGAGTTCAATGCATATACAAAAACTACGAAACTGACTCGTAACACTGTGTGTTAGCCTAGTCATCGCCTTCCTCGACGGGCAATGTTAGCTGATATAGGGTCAGGCTGGAAAAAGCTAGCGGCGGTCAAACCAAAACATGGCACCAGTCAATGAAATCCACAACAGTTAGTCTAAGCCACGTAGGAAGGTGTAGACTTCCTGGTTGGGGTCCTCGGGACGGTAAAAACCAATGGTTGGAAACAATTGGTGACATGGCTCAAAATCGTTCTCAGTGGCGCAGATGCATTCACTCCTTGTGACTTATGATTTCCAATGAAACTGTTTTGTTCTTCGTTATTACTATTCCTTTGTCTCACACCTCTGTTTACTGTCTATACTATGCATTTCTCCTACTTTCTTCTCTTGCTTTGTGTGCTACATGAAGTGTGGCGACTTGAACTGCCGCACATATGTGCAAAGTTCTATGTCGAAAACCGACCGATCGACCGTGTTAGGCAATTGTAAAATGGTTGGTGGAGGCATGTGACCATTAATAAATTTACATAATTGTTGTCGTAAGCTGAGGAAAACATGAAATTGATTACATTGAAGTAAATTGTTATCAGGTAAAATAGTGGGCTGTTGGACGCTTAGTTGCCACAATTTAGATATAATGAAGAAGACTGACATAATTTGACTAAGAATTCGGGTAATAATAGAATAACCAAACTTATATTTCTAAATGGTGTGAAACAATTAGGATTTCATCAAAAACAACCGAAAATTGGTTAAAGTTATATAGTAAGAGTAACACTACAGCCAACATTATGTTCCAATTTAAAAAAAATGTGTAAATAGCGTAGACATTTTGAAAGTGAAATGCATTTGAAATTCATTTAATTTTAACTTTTGGTTAATAAAATGGCAGTTTTATTCTATCGAATTTCTGACTGGAAGTTGTTGCAGAATTATGATAGCTTTACAAACGTGAGGTTATTCCATTCACTTACTTTGGAATTATTGGTAGCCTACCAGGATAAGTTTAGTCGATCGAAAATATTTCAATTTGATAAGCTGCCTCAAATAAATAAACTGATTAGTCAGACTTTTTAGAAGTCACACTTCAGTTGTTACAACCTTTCAGGAATTTGTAGTTAAAATCCCTCAACTGAGCTAGTGAAGTACCACTAATTCTTGTGACTGGGTAAATTTTCCTTATAAAAATGATATAGTTTATCCAGTTTTTCTTCAGTCAAAATGTTTCTGTGCTACTAGCAAAAAATAAGTCCTCTTGAGATATGTCTGTATCTTTTGTTACATATGCTGTGTCATTTAGTTACAGAACTTCTAAGTATTCCTTTAGAAGGATGGTTTACTTTTCTTTAGACTGGTACTTTTAAATCTTCATAGAAGTAAATGACTAAATGATCAATGTTAAAAATAAGCACATTTTCGCGTATTTTTAACATTTTTCAAATGTTTCTTTCAGGTGATCATATGCTGACGTCCCTTTCTGTTGCTCGAGACTGTGAGATGATTGACGAACTGGATCGGGTTGTGATTGTAACCGCTAGACCTCCTCCAGCTTCTTTTCCATGCAGTGATTTTCCGTCGGAGGGTTCAACTGAGAATCAACCAGTAAATATAAGAGGAGATGGCTTACCATTTACAGCCACTGTTAATGTAAATAAAAATACGACAAATACAGGAGATAATAATAACTTCCCTGATGAACTAATAAACTCCTTAGTGCAATTTCATTATGCAGAAGATCTCCATAAACCAGTCACTGAAGTTGCAACTACCAACGTACAAGTGAAACGAGATTCAACTAAAACTGATCACAAATTGACAACAAAACTACCAATTATTGGGCGTATAAAAAGCAAATTCTCCTTCAACCACTTGAGAATCCCGAAAGATGTTAATGAGTACGTGAGATACTTTTTTTGACTGGTTGAACATCTATTTACTCATTGTACAAAAAACCATAGGTAGTCGACGTTTATTTAACTTATAGTTTTGTGAAAATTAATATCTAGATGAATCAATAACTAACTATCTATTAGCGTTTGCTGTTTAATCACAAAGAGGAAGTAACGTTATTAAGAGGTACACGCAATAAAGAATTTGTCTTTCGACATGAATTGAAATTCATATTCCCGGTGAATACTTGTATAGAAGAAGAGCCAATTTAATGTAGAGCTTTAAGTCAATATCAATGAAATCATATTGTAACGATAGAAGACAAGAGACACGGAAGCAAAGGTAGATTTTTCATTAATCAAACAGCTGTTTATATTTATATACAGTTTATATTCGTTAACCAATCACTGAGCGTGTGATTTTGGTTTACATTAAACGACATGAAATAGAATGTTCAAATAGATATATCGTATACTGTTTTTAATACCGAATTGAAATGTGGGAATATGTGAGAATCATATTCCGTTGGAACACATTGCCTGTATCACACCAACACAATATCTGTTTCATTCACAGGAATTATGTTTTGTGCAAACGAAAGTATACTTTTTCAGTATATGGGAAAAGTCAATTTATGAAGAGGTTGAATGACTTTATTCTGATATACTCAAAGTTAATTCAAGACACAGAAAATAAACTCGTTTCCTACATACGTCAAATAATAGATGAAAAGCAGCAGTAATGTGATATTATTGATAAGAATTTTTCTGGATGGTATACTTATGTGCAATGCAGAATTTGTAGTGTCTTTTATTGTAAAATACTTATCGTGTAGAATTTGTAAATGAAATAATTACTGACAGCATACCATTTGGCACGTTATTGTTCCATCTCAAGCATAATTTGTTCCCTTTCCACGATACTGTTCCCTTACAAGATGCATAGTGGTATAGTGGTATATTTAAAGGTATTTAAAAATACGCGTTTGTAAAAACTACTATTCAAAGACCTAAACGGGCTACGTAAACAGTAGGAAGTGCAGTAAATTTCATGGATTATGATAGGTGGAAAGCAGGGTAGCAGGATGGTTCTAGCAGGTCTCTACTAGACTTTAAACTGCAGTCTTTATGCAGTCTTGTTTAATAAGGATTCAAAAATTAAAACGGGTTCACTAGTGAATAAACTGAATATATGAAGCAAGTCTCATCATTGCTATTTACTAAACAGAAGTGATCTTTCCCATACTATTTCATGATAACTTTAGCCATAGTTTAGTAGTTTCACGAGTTATGTTTTTTTCACATTCAAAAATTTTAAGCCCGAAATCGAATCGTTTTACACAATCGTGTTTATGTCACTTGAACATCTCTTATTTGGAACGCTTTTTACAAATGAGATTAACTGAATATGAAGATTAACCAATCATTCAAATTTAAGGAGTTTATTATCCATCTCAGTTTTGTCATTACTGATGTTGTCAAAATACCTGGAGTTATGTTTCGATTAAAAATGTAAATATGAATGATTGATGTTGACAATTTATTATGTGGCTTTAAAATGAACATTAATTAAACATAGCTGTCATGTAGTGGTGTTTATTTACATCTCAGCCTTATGTATTAATCCAAGCTAACTTATCCATTGTGGTGTAAATCGTCGAATAAACGTTAACCATTCACTAACAACACTGTTTTGCGAAACTGAGTCAGTGAAAGTTTTTTGGAAGACAAAAGCATCTCATAATGAGTATCTTAAAAGCAGTTGTGTATGGTAAGTAAAATGAGGAAGTGATAAGTAGATAAAGATATTTTCAGTTTTCAAAAGTGTTTCTTGAAGGTATTCTTATACATAAGACGAAGACAGGGTGTATAAATACCTTATTCTCAGTGCTTATCGAATACAGTGGCAATTTATGTTACTACCGTGATCAGCGTGAGTGATATAAGAATTTCCAACACTTTACAGATAGTATAATTCCGTTCCCAGCCAGAAAAATTAAGTTCTTTTTCTGTTCAAATCTATGGGTGTGCATAATTTCAACTATCCACGTGGGATAAGTCCCGCGCTAAGGAGTTTCAAGAAACACGAAGAAATATTTGTCAACTTAACCAGATAAACTAGAGGCGAAAATAACTGAAAAATGTCACAGAGGCATCTTATCGAGATATAGAACTCGGATAACCCAGAAACGCCTTTCTCAGTTATTTATGGAATCACAAGCTGGCTACTTCTTGAAATCTGTCTTCATTTTCTCCTCTAAACTATCAGTAATACAGTATGTAGTATGGTACAAAAATCATGCGCACAGAAGAAGTCTTTAGACCTATTAATCTTTCCCAGACCTTGTTATTATGCCGTCTCTAGATTTTTCCAAAATGTACTCAATGCTGCGTTTGCATTCTCTTTATTTTGGTTTTATTACATATTTTTCTCTAACAACAAATAATTTCATTTATGTTATAATATTGTTTTAATTTTACTTCGACTTCATAGTTAACTGCTTGTTTATATACTTTTTTGTTGCTTCCTATCATACCTAAATGCTCTGTTATAAGTAAAGAGTTATTTATACTGCAGTGCATTAGAGTTGCATATTTCAAGGTTATGAATGATAAGCACTTAACACACATTTACAAAACTTCAACTTCTGTACAAAAGATGTGTAGATTTTTTACTTTCTTGTTAAACGTGAAAGTCTAGGTCAGTGTAAATTTTTCTTTTGCACATTTGAGCATACTTCGTGTGTATCCCCACAAGCCTAACGCTTGTAAATATAAATTGTTTCTAAAAGATGCGTTGATGACAATGATAACTATAAGTTTTGGCCTAAACTAAGTTTTCGTCATAAAAGTTCTGTAGTTTTGTTTGTAGAATATGAAATTCTAAAACTAAATAATTTCCTAATTTATACAGTCACCTAAGAATTGGTATTTATTTTACTCGTTGTTCAACGGTTTTAGGTTGTCTGTGACAGACAAGTTTTCGGAATTAGATGTCGAGAAATGTTTATACGAAAATGGTCAAAAACAAGTGGATGGTTTGAGCAATTCTAGGAAAAAAAGTTCCGCTGAGAATCGATATGCACTATCAATTCGCATGATTGACAGACCCGATTTCCATTTGGCTATCTCAGGCAAAACATGGTCTATTATTCAAGAACATTATCCCTGGCTAATACCCAAAGTGAGCTTTTTGAATTTTTGAGTGCATAAAAACAGATGGCTGAATTTATTATTATTTTCGAAGATTAAAATACTTGTGATATTCTCAACCTCATCACTTTCAAGCTGTCAATTGCTAACTTTAAATTGAACTGTATGCAACCATACAGATTATGCATTATCGCTCTTCTCACCATGAAAGCAAGAATTAGAATGGGGACGTGGAATGTCCGTACAATATACGAGGCTGGAAAGGCTGCCAAGGAAGCCAAAGAAATGAGGAGATGTGGTACAGAAGCGCTAGGAATCTGCGAGAGCAGGTAGAATTGATGTAGACTATCCGAATTGTTAGCTGGGGAGTCAGTAATCTATGCCCGTCACGCAGTCGACAAGCACGAGCACACTGAAGTAGTGAGTGGCTATAATGATGTTACCAACAGTGGCCAAAACCCTTATGTGTCGGCAACCTGTCTTTCCCAGGATAATGACAGCAAAACTCAACTTTGAAAGAAATAAGAAAGGTTGCAATTATCATGTAATGCTACGCACAATGCTACAAACAACGTGGAACAAGAGAAGAAAGAAGATTTTTACAGACAGTTACAAACAGCAATGGACAACAGCCCTATTAGCGACATCAGAATTATTATGGGTGATATGAATGCTAGCTAAACTGAGAGCAGATAATACAGGAAGAGAACTAACTCATCATGGGCCGAAAGACTGTCGGAGAAAGAATGAGAACGCAGAATTATTCACAGACTTCTGCGCTTTCAATGATTTGGTCATCGAAGGCAGCGTGTACAAACACAAAGACAGCGACATGGGTTTTGGCTGATAGACACACTACAAACCAGACAGATTTCATTTCAGTCCTGTTCCAGGAAGATGATGCAGCCTGATGGACACAAATTTGAGAAGTAGAGAAATGTGGGCTCATCATCTAGTTCAAGGAACCTACAAGGTCAAGCTGAAAAATTCAGAACAGCTTGACACAAGCAATAATTCAAGTTCAACATTAAAAAATGAAGGACAAAATAACAAGCGATACCTTCACTACAGATCAGATTAGAGCAAAGTCGGAGATACTTCACGGAATTTTAATGAGTAAATCTACGTTGAAAAACACTGGAAATAACTCTCTGAAAGTGATGTTCAAGAAAAAGTATAAAACTGTTCTAAGGAGAGAAAAGAGGAAATACAAGGAATGGCTCTCTATGGACAACAGGGAGTTGATGGAGGAGAAGAGGATGGCTAAAGAGATGACTCAATGCAATGGTGGACAAGAGAAGGAGAAGCCAAGTTCGATGTACATCTGGTTGAATAAAGAAGTGAAGAAGAGTGCAAGGAAAAACAAAAGACAATGCTACGGCACAGTGGAAAATGATCCAGATACCGCAGAGGATAGCCTCATGCCAATTCAGCAAAACGCTTGGAAGGAAGGAAAGGTATGTACTGATTGGAAGAAAGGCTACTTTGTCAAACTAGCAAACAAGGCCGACTTACGCCTCACTTTGCAAGAACTGACTGGCGTGCAATAATGCTCTTGTCCGCGCCAAGTAAAATACTAACTCGCATCATCCTGCAGACAATAAAGGTTGTACTGGATGCAGAACTCCGCCTTCCTCAACGGAGCAAGCTGCATTCAGGAAAGGCAAATCATAACTCCATTATGGACAAAATCGTGTTCGGATCAAATTGATACTCTACCCATCATCATCGAGCAGAGCGTAGAATATCAGTCAAATCTCTATGTCAACTTCATCGACTTTGAAAAGGCCTTCTCCAGACAGCCTTGACCGAGAAGTAATTCGGAGACTACTGAAACACCATGGCGTACAGTGCTCAAGTTCTGATCAACCTCATTCAACTGCTAGCTATATGACAATGAAAGGTGTCAGGGTGACGTAATCCACAACGGAAAACCCAGAGAAGTCTTCGGAGTGAATACGAGAGTAAGACAAACTGGCTGCCTACTATTTATCACTGATGATATTCCTGATTTTGGTGGACTGAATTATGATGGAGACAGTGAGAGTGAGGAGACAGGAATACTCTGCACTGACCGGTAAGAAGACTCTAGGATATCTGGATTTCATGGAAGATTTGTTTTTAATGTCACACAAAGACGAAGACTTCCAGACGAAAACCAACAAGTTGGGAGAAGAGGCTGGCAGTGTAGACAGGACTGCAGATGAACATTGAGGAAGATAAGCAAGCAATCAACTAACAGCGGCAGCAACAACAACCAGCACCAATCAGCATCAACTGGAGAGATTTGACATAGGTTACTTCCTTCACTTATCCAGTCACGAAGCATCGTTTCAACTACAGGCAGTGGGGACGGATGAAAATCTCAAAGGGGGCCAGAATCGGAAAGTCAAGATACGCCTTCATCAACCTGAAACCGGTTTTGAAATCTTCTGCTCCCACTCAGAATACAGAAAAAGATTCAGATTTTAAACACCAGTGTCATTTCAGTCAGTGCTTCTATGCGGGAAAGAAACTTGGCCAACACGTTACGAAAAGGATTTCCAGGAAGTTACAGACTAACATTAACAGCTGCATGCGCTGGCTGCCTACTGAAGATCAAATGGCCGGCTGGCCAGAAAGTGCTAGCAACAGGAAACTCTGACAGTGAACAAACCACCCAAGAGCCAATCGCTCGACACATATGTAGGAGAAAATGGAGATGGATCAGGCATGCGTTGAGGAGGCCGTGGTATTAAATCGCGCGTCAGCCAGGCCATTGCTTGAGTTGAATTCGAATAGGAGGCGACGAGTGGTTCATCAGTGTGAGCATGATATGAAAGAGATCGTGTGGGGGAGGAGATGAGTGATTATGGTCAATCATGGACCTGGCTGAAGAAGGCAGGAGAAGATAAAACAAAGTAAAGATGTGTTGTTGAAGCCCTATGTTCCACTCGGAACCCAAGGGAATAATAACAAAAAATAATATCCAACTAGCATTTTGAACAGTTAATGATAGATATATATTGAAATTTGGATTTCAGTATTGTTTGAAGTGTTTCTTTACTGTCTGACAAGTCTTTTTTAGATTTCGTTCTCTGTAATTGTTGATTTCAAGTAAGCCAACATCAATTGTACGCATGGATTTTCAGATACTTAGCTATATATATATTTGAAATATTAATTTCAGCTGGTTGTCAAAGGTACGGTATTTGCTCGATTCTCTCCAGAACAGAAAGCACAAGTTATTGAAGCACTACAGTCAGTCGGCTACTTTGTCTCAATGTGTGGCGATGGTGCAAATGATTGCGGAGCTTTAAAAGCAGCTCATGCTGGTATTTCTCTAAGTGAAGCTGAAGCAAGTATCGCTAGTCCTTTCACATCGAAAAAACAAAATATAAGCTGTGTTCCTATGCTTATTAGAGAAGGGCGTTGTGCACTTGTAACGAGCTTTGGGACTTTCAAATTTATGGCTGGCTATTCGCTTATCCAATCATTTTCCACCATAATATTATTTGTGGTAAGCATTATTGGCACCTATTTGATTGCACTGTTAATGATAAAATACACAACTTAGAATAGTAAGAATGATTTTAAGTCATTTTTTAGAGAGACATTGTTATTCCTACTGTACCATTTTTATGGCACTGACTTAATGTTGCTATTACATTAAGTCAATGAATTTAATGAAGCGACATTCACAGTCTTCCTTACTTTTTCAACTGCATCATGAATTACTGTCACACCACGGACATATACTTTAAGTAATCTATTCTGGAAAAAAGCAATTAAGTTTAAAAAGTTAATTTTCTGCGATAAGTGATTCATAGTCGTCGTATGCATATCATTATTTGGAGCGGTCAGTATTTACCATTTATACTATTAGTAGCAGCAAAAGTAGGAAATATATAGCTTGCCATCAAGTTTCAATTTTTATAGGGAAGATCGACTGTCGAGAAATAACACTCGGCTTACATTTTTCTTTATTTAATTTCAAAAACATTTTGGCCAATAGTGTGAAGTTTGAAAAAATGTTTCAGTTTTAATCGTAGGCTATAATAAGTTTCTAATTCCTACTGTTAGTGTCTAAATTCTTAAAGATTAATCATTAGGCCTCTTTTTCTTATGAATACACATGTAAAGACTAGGCTGACTGGGGAACTACTGCTGTGCTTTTCTTATCAGAATAGATAATTACTTTGCTCAACTTGTTTTGTTTTCAGATCGGCAGCAATTTATCCCAATGGGAATTTTTGTACTTTGATTTCATTATCATAACAACTCTAAGCTTAACATGTAAGTTTTCGTTATTTTTTTTCCGTTAAATTTAATGTAGTGAAAAGCTTGTTAATTATCCTTTTTATATCAGTGCATCATCATGAATAAACAAAAGTTACCTTTCCCTTATTGTCCAGTGTTTTAAAATAAACATTTTGTGGATTCTGTATAATGATAAGGATCTATCGTTAATATTCAGGTGTGCCTTATGGTTCATTTCTCCAATTAATTGAATACTATAAATGTTACCTTATGACCTAATTATAAAATGAATGCATTCAACACAAGAAGATACATTTAGTTAGTTACACAGTTGCTATTCTATCATAGTTTTTATCAAAAATGTTAACGCTTGGCAGATGTTTTATCTTTTCTCACAGTGTCTTTGGGAAAACTTTGTTAGGCGCTAACAGAAATGTTCTGTTTACATTCATAAATATCTAAGACACTAGGGTGCAGTTTTTAACGAGCACAGTGAGCTACACTGATTGGTTACCAGGATGTAATCAGCGACACTAGTCAAGTCCTTGGCGTCTTGACAAACCAGCAAAGTTGTCACCTGGCTAAAATCATTCGCCAACGCCGTACACTTTAAAATTATCTTCGGTAGCTGAGTGTAATCGACTGGAAGCCTTGCATCTAGGTTTCACGCCCATTGGAACTCACTGCTTATCAAGGTGTGTATACAACCTCAGGTTCGAGTCTCGGAGGGGCATCAGTTCCTTGGATATTGCCGGCATGCTGTGCTGGTAAGTGCCAGTAAGCTTGAAAAACTTAGACCGAAGACTTCCCGTAGACTGTTTCTATTAACCTAGTAGTAAAATGCAAAATATTATTATATATTTACTATACTTACGTAATTCAATATTCCGTTGCTTCTGAACTTGTGTTGTTTTGGAGTGATGATGAATGGAAAATTTTAAACATACTTTCACGTTGAAATTTGCGAATAAATTTACAGTTCGAGGAGGTGAGGTTTCACCAGAGTTTCTTCTAGAAACTGAAATTATTCAGATCGAAGTATGTCAGAGAAACGGCCGTCCACTGTTTAGATCAATCACACCGATCTGGCCAGCAAATACTACTGGTTAACGTGAGTGGTATACAACTTCTCACTTCAATCAACCAGTAGCATATCTCTAAATGCAAATACTCTAACGCTCTTTATATCGATTAATTCAAAAGCTGAAATTTTCGGTTTGTTTAAGTTGTACAGCAGTCAAACAAATTTCTTGGTATGCTTCTTTTGTATCCTAAACGTATCTCTAAGATTTCTTCACTTTCAGTTTGAAACATCATCTGTTCTCTTGTTAAATGTGTGCACCTAGATTTTTTTTGGATAATCTGCAAAATGTAAATCAAGTGTTTTAATTAAATATTTTTAAACAAATTCACTAGTTGGTTACACGCATGCTTATCCACGTCTGTCCGCTGAACCGCCCACAATGAGATTATTCAGCATGGTGACGATGATTTCACTATTCGGTCAGGTGGTAATTGGATTCACCATTCAGTGCACTGCATTTCTACTGATTCGCTTCCAATCTTGGTATGTGTTTCAGTGACATTATTATAAGCTCATTGAAATTTTTATATACTTTTACTGACTTTTCTTTACTAAATAGTATGTCGCTACATGTTCTTACTCTGTTTAATTGTCTTGCAATCCTCTTTCTTCCTGAATTCCTGTTATTTTTAGTCTGTGATATTTTTTATTTGTACGTGAATTTTAGAGATGTTCATAAGTATATTTAGAAAAAAAGATTATTTGCTTATATTATGAAATTATATACGCCTCTAAACTTTCAATTTAGGGGATTATTCTGTGTTGCTCAAAAACTGACTGTGAAGGATTAAAAAGTACTTTCTACAGATGGATTTAATATTGAAAGCAGCAACAAAAAATGTACACTTTGATACAGTGTAGACGACATATTCACACGAGCATCCACTCGTTACATGTTCAAATGTTTGAGAGAAAATTTATCAAATCACAACGATTATAGTAAACTACTTAATTATAATCCAATAATAAGTATAGTATTTTGAAAAGTTAATTCATTCACTTAGCATTTAAGTAATAAAGCACAAAAAAACATTATCAAATATTTTCACATGACATTAACTTTGAAGAAGGGCAAAATAATTTTTTTGAGGACATGATTATCGGGTTAACATACCTAAAGCAATTTTTTTCTTTTTTTTTTTCTAAAGGAAATTAGACGTTATTATTCGGTTTTAATTCTATTTTGATTTTCCTGTTGACTGATTGACTGTTTGGCCTCTGTTGACAGCTCTGTCAACTATTTGTACGGACACTTCAGCAACGTCCGAAGTTTAATATGAAGTAATTTACGAACTTAAACCAGCGCCTTAGACCGCTCGGCCACTCCACCCACCGCCGACCATGCACATGGTCCGAGGTTCGATCCCCGGCCGGCGCACTCCTTTACCTCGCTAAGCCAGAAATAATGCTGGCAAAAAGGAAAAGTTGGGCATAAGGTTAGCAACCCCATCCCGTAAAATAAACACTGCTAAAGAAACTTCAAGCCACTAGCTTGAAGCCCTATGTTCCACTGGAGAACGTGAAAGAAAAAAATTTACGAACTACTTCGAAAACCGTACGCGTTATTAATTTATTTGCACTAGTGTAAATACAAAATTTGGAAATGTTTCAAATTTATTGCTGGGTCTTTAGAGGAATATTATCTTGGTTATCAATGATTAGCTGTATGGTGTAGTACTGGTTATCACTGTTTATATAACAATGGCGCAGAATCACCATGTCAAGAAAATTCATGCCTGAGCCGCAAATGTTCTCCACCATTTCTAAGTTAATATTTACGCATTTGTGCATTTAGTAAGAAATTTTATTCATTTTCTGATTTGTCGCTTAGACAAATTCTTGTTAGCGACATGGATATTCCTAGGAAAAATTTGGAAGATGCATGTGAAAAGTTGGTAGGAATCTGTCCATTTTTGAGTATGTGCGTTAAACAGTTTAGTTTGTTAATTAACCTTTTATTCAGTTGGGTGTTATTCTTAGTCTGTCACCATCAGTAAAGAATTGAAATCTTTGAAATCTCACTAGCATTTAGTCAGTCCAATTCCTTGAGCCTAGGATGATAAATTTCATACTGTGAATTTAAGAGATTGGTACACTGAGAAACATGAAATGACGTTAAAATAAGAGAGGTGACCGATTCATCTGTAGGATAGTGATAGTAGAATTATTATTTGACTGTTGAGAGATTTGAACAATGTAGTGCGCTTGCTGTGTAACAAACTTTATTAGGGATTAATTTCAAACCTTTTGTTTTAACTTATCCATTCCAAGCTACTAATTTCACCTGTTAGTCCAAAGAATTACTTTTTCTATCCCCAGACAACTATTAACCAAATCATAAGGTATGTATTAGACAGATCTCTTATTTGGGAAATGATTAGTAGATTGTAATTCAAAAATCCAACTTGATGTTTAATGTTGATCGTAAAAACCCGCAATTACGGATTTTCCAGTTTGATCACAGATTGATATTAATTAGAGAACCATTGAAAACCAGGGAGTACTGGACAGCCCTGTTTCATCCTAGTTTTGGAATTATCGACCGACTGGGTTTCGAATCCACGACCTAAATGACTTCAGTAATTCTATCTACGCAATTAGTTATTTATCACGTGTATGGCACCTGTGTAAGTCAAAGACTCCTCTTTTTCTTGCGACTTAGGTTCATCTGCCAATGAAACTATGGAAACTTTATGATATATTCTTAAGATGAATTGATTTCCTCACAGAGCATTGTTATGTTTGTAAGTACACTTGTTTTGTTTTTTTGTTTTCTGCACAAACATCAAATATTATCTCGTCTATTCACTTTCCGGTGAAAATGATTCCAGGTATATGCCACTGTTTTCATACTCAGACGATAACGAATACAAAAACTTTGAAAATACAGCCATTTTCATTGTATCCAGTTATCAATACATAATTCTGGCTGTTGCTTTCTCGAAGGGTGCACCATATCGCAAGTCTATTATTTCTAACTGTAAGTCATAATTTGTATATATTCCTTTGTTCACTTATTAATAGTATTTTATTACATTTCCTGTGTTTTAAACTTAATGATACGTTGAATAAATCACATACATCCTCAGTATTTTAACTATGTACATCGAAACAGTCTTCGCTTTATTGCATACCTAACTACCTACCTACCTATCGTGGAGTTTATCTTCCTCATACTTTTTTTCAGAACTTAAATAATTTTCCACCTTTAACACAATTCTGAAACATATTTTTATCTTAAGTTCATTTACACCAACCAGGACATTTTATTAAATTTGTTTTTAGGACGATATTAAAAATTTACGTCTTATCCAGTTCTCAGTTTCATTTACTCCAGTGTTTTGTTTGTGTTATTATATTCATAAAAGTAACAACTTGCAAATGTTTTGCAGAAATTCAAACTATTTATATACGCTTACTGGTCATTATTCAGTTGGCACTTCGTGTTTACCTTCCACACTGATTCGTGTCTGCTTAAAAAGTCTTTTGGTTTAAATCATTTTCAGCTCTTTATTTTATAAGCAATTAAGTTAACCATTTATACACAATTCTGTTTTTCGACAAAGACTACGCGAAGCTTGAAAAATATAAATTTAATAAAATCAGACAAGTATTAGGCTCGAACTAGCGCGTGCTGACTACCTCTTTACTCTATGTGACACAGATGCATTTTCTGGTGTGCCTCCTAACACGAATTTGTCAACTAAGGGGTTATATGATGGCATGTGATCGTGAAAGAATGTCGAAAAAATCATATTTTTATTCATCAAGATACTCCAATTACACTCATTTAATCGTATAGAAACTTATGAGAAGTTATGATCTGAAGTGACGGTATCCATTAGTGGTAAGAAGTTTATGTGTCCGGGTTCTTGTGTACGAATTTAAGGCCATATTACGCATTCAAGATACTCTGACTGTTCTTATAACTCTGAATTGTTGTTGAATAGTTGGAAGTAGTCGGCAGGGAGCCTTGAACCTAGGTTTCATGCTTGTTGACACTAGAAAGTAAAGTTTATCTGCAATATTGGAGAAACTCATGTTTATTGTGCGATTCGAACCCGGGTCACTACTCTTCATAAATTATTATTTTCTTTAAATTCCTATATATATTGAAGAATGATTACATTTCTGTTTTCTTTAAATTTATGTGTAGTTTTCGAAGTATGACAAATTATATTTCGCACATCTAAGTTAGGTTTTTGCTAAATTGATCAGTTAGCCACAGCCTATAATATGATATGCACTTCTTTTACATTGATTGCTTAATACTAAAAGCACCTGTTGCTTTATTTCTTTTATGTTACTTTAAATAGATGCTTTTGTGATAAATATTGCCATTTGCTTGGCTTGCAATTTGTATCTTACAACACATCCAGTGAGACAGATACTTGATCTTTTGCAGGTGAGTTTTAAAGAATGCCTCTCACTAGAGGAAATACTTTAATATTATTTTATACATGTCGCCAAAAGTTACACACTAAAATAAAAACCAACTTTTTAAACATTTACAGAATCTGGTGGCTCATATTTTTAAAAAATTTTAGTTGCTGAATTTAGTGAGGAAGATAAATTACTCATTTTACTGCTCTTATATCAGTTCAGTCGCTTATTGACACGTGATATCCCTCTTTTTGAATCAAGATTAGGTTGTCAGTACGGTTCAGAAAGTGAATGACTGTGTTGAAATAGTTGCTTACTGCCTTTTTTGAAATTATTATTTCAGATGCTTTTATTCTGCATGAAAAAACCGTAATGCCTTTCTTTTTTGCTAAGAATTGTCCACAGAAATCATTCAATGAATCAGAATAGCTCTGATTTCTGTCAGTGATGAGGCAGATTTGCACTTCACACACAGTGTTACTCAGTAGACCAGAAATGTTTCAACAGCTATCGATTCATACAGTCCACGATACAGAGTGAACTGCATACGTTTGTGTCATATATTGATAAACAGGAAAGAGAAACTGCAAGTCCACATTTGTGGTTTTGATGCCCAACTTAATTCTATATGAATCGATGTAGAAATCATTGTGGACTGCAAAATATAGTTCAGCGGCATCTAGCATCAAAGTCAAAGAATTCGCCTTTGGCATTCAACTCACAAATGGAGCTTTATCTCCCATAATGTCTGGGTTTTGTATTCGAACTGTTTACTTGGTGGTAATCGGTGAAATAAACAAGAACAGAGGACTCTGTTCAGACTTATTCGCTTTAGTGATATGGTGATTGGAGATGGGGTGTACAAGCACAAAGTTATAAACAAGACGACATGGGTTTCATCAGATGGACAAATCGAAAATCAGACAAGATTCATTTCAGTTTCAAAAAGTGAAGATTCAGCTTACTGGATACAAAACTAAGAAGAGCAGTAGATACAGGTTCAGATTATATTCTGGTGCAAGGAACCTTGATGGTTAAGTTGAAGGCATTCAAAGAAGTTTGAGATAGAACACAATTCAATTTGAACATTTCAAAACAGAAGAATGACACTACAAAGGACACATTAACTACAGTCATCAGGGAGAACTGGAAGATACTAAGCAAGATCGTCGAGAAAACCTGTGTAGAGCAACATTAGAACTCCCTGAAACAAGGTCACCTTGTCTTAGGCAAAAAGTAAAGGCAAGGCAAGGAGTGGCTCTCTAAAGGACACGTACAAACTAATGGAATAGAAACGGATAGTAGTGAAATAGGAGGCAAACTACTGCAAAGCTAAACGGCAAAAGGAAAAACTGAGTTTATTCTACACTGTACTATACAAAAGAGTGAGGAAAAGTGAGTGGAGTGACAAAAGACTATTCTACGATACACTGGAAACTGAAGCAGAAAAGTGGGACCTCATTATACCAGTTAATCAGGTCGCTATTTATGAACAGATCAATACAGATGAAACTAATGAAAGATGGTGAAGAATACCTAATAACCAAAGCTGAGGAACAAGGAAAATAACGGGATGATTACTTCGAGGGAATCTTGAATGTACCACCGCATGCATCTTGGCCAGAAATACCACTTACAGCCACGGAACTGTCAGTGAACACCAATCCCCCAACAAAGGCTCCATGAGGTTACTGAAAGTCACCCAGAAAGACATCAGGACCAGATGAAATTCCTCCTGGTGTACTGTAAACGGATCGTACAATTTAGAAGAAATATTTATGCCACTATTGCAAAAACTTTGGAAGGAAAGGTACTTACTAATTTGAGGAAAGGTCAAACTACCAAAGAAAGGCGACGTAAGCCTCGAGAAGAAATTGTGTGGAATTATTTTCTTGTCCATGTCAAGCGGAATATTAGGTCGCATCATCCTGGAGAGAATAAAAGACCCACTGGTTGCAGAAATCCACCCAGAACAAGTTGGATTCAGGAAAAGCAAACCATTTGCTGATCAAATCGTAGCTCTACGCACCGTCATCTAACAAAGCATAAAATGGTGGTGTACTGAATCATCTAGTAGACTATGGGGTGTGAGAAGACATAAATATTTTGGACTGATATAGAGACTCTAGAGGATCTGAAATTTGCGGAAGATTTGTATCTAATTCACATAAGTGCGAAGACCTGCACACGAAAACCAACAAGCTGGTAAAAGAGCAAGGCAGCGAAGATAGGACTTTAAGTGAGCACAGAAAAGTCAGAGTTGGTGGAGATAACTAACCAACAATAGCAAGCTCCAGATGCCATCAGCGGAAGATATTTGAGGAAGGCCACCACATTAACTAATGTAGACAGAATCCTTTTATCTGCAGGTGGCACGAATGAGGGTGTCAGAGTCAGGCAGGACCTTTGAAGCAAGGTGAACCTTTATTAATCTGAAGTCAATGTAGAATTCTGCCGCAGTCAACACAAAAAACAAGATTCGGATTGCCAACACTAATGTGCTTCTATATGGTTCACTGATTTGATAAGTTACGAAAAGCATTTCCAATAGGCTATAGACTTTCAACAACAGTTGTATTCGCTCAATACTGAATATCAGATGTTCATACAGAAAGGGCAAGCAGCAAGGTACTCTGACAGCATACTTGCCTACTTGACAAATACATAGGCAAACAATGGATCATCCTTCATTGGTGATATAGAGATCGATGTCCAGTCCATATATAAACCAGTCAGAATTGGCCTCTGTAAAATAGTGACCACTATTTTATAGATCGTGATTATAGACTAATTGACATGTCCTTAGTAATATTTTGAATTATACATTATTGTATAAAATATACTCTGCGGTTCACGCCGTTGTGTGTTCTTGTTTAAGCAGTGTGGGCTGGGAAAGTAGGTAGGTGTCATATAATGTTGTTGGTGTAGGGAAGCGGTAATCGTGATTAGCACCCCTGTGTGCAGCTTGACGTCCTTATATCAATCTCGACTTACTGAGAAATATGAAATATCTCTGGCCAAGTAGTTTTTGAACTTTTCGATGTTGAAAAAAACTTGAACAACATCAGTCTAGTTTAAACGCCAAGGTGGTCCTGAATTTGATGCAAGTCACCAGACCTGTCAAAACCTTCGCTCTACACTCTTTGGTCCTACTTCAAACACCCATTTCCATATTTACTCTTGCAATAGCAATCAAAACACAAAGATGATACCTTTATCATCCTGCTGGCATTTCAGTGCTTCGCGTTTCATCGAATCTTGTCCGTATATGCAACGCCGGAGCCAAGACCGTGATGATGTCGGACACAAAGATGGTTTTAGCCAGAAACATGCGCACCGGCCATCCCCAACAAATTGTCTCAGAAGCCGTTCCCAGTCATCATCTACCCGCCTATGGTTCATAAGTACTCGGACTCTGCCCCCCCCTCCCAAGATGGCGCTACACCTGTCTTCCAACCAAAGAGGTCTGGGCCAGGTATTTTATTAACACAACTTGATACCAAACTTTACGAAAGACCGAGGGAAGATGAAGCCGCTACTGCAATGAAAAGCTGTGACTCAAATGACCTTGTTATGATGTAAATTATTAAAATGTTACCTACCTCTGATAGGGTTCATTTTTATGCATTCGGTCGTGTATTCTGAGGTACATTTTCTACAGGTGAGAAAGTCAGAATTACTGGTCATTACAGTGTTCTGAGGAGAAGGAACGACCTTTACGAAAAGTCAGTTCAGCGCATTGTGTTGAGACGAATGGGATTTAGCTTTAGCCCAATCCTGCCTGTTGCCATTGAGTGCGTAAATCTGCCCAAGCTTGTTTAAAGCTTGCAGAACCTTGCCAAAAGCGATCCCATATTTCAGATAACCAAACAAAGAATTGGGTGAGCAGATGCCAGTAAAATACACCTGGAGATAAATGTGAGAAAGAACCAGAAGAAGACCATGTCTGTATTCCTCTAAAGGAAACAAGTACAGTTGTTTCATGTCTTGAGACGGTAACAGAAGCGCCGAATCACGTTTACCGCCCAAATCTCCGAACAAACACAACCGACTTTACATGTGCGCTTCTTCTTTATCCAAAGAAATGGTTGTAGATATTGATGTGGCGAAAATAAATGCTCGTCAAGATATGAAAGATCGTGATCGCCATCTAGCTGATAATCATGGTTGAGGTACACGTAGTTCCAGAAAAATATGATGAATCGACCCAGAAAACACAGATCCGAACATAGTGGTCGATACTGCGGAAGCAGTTCAATATTTCAGTGAAATAAAAGTTAGAATTGTCAGTGCTTTCCAGTGAGCAACCGAAGAAGTTATGCCCTGTTGTTGTGAAAATATGCGTGTAATTCAACCTAGAAGATGTGACACTACATACGCATGCGGTTCATCCTGATGGTGGTCAAATCAATGGTACAGTACATTGACGCTTTTACGCCCATATTCTAACCTCTAGACCTGGATCTTCTTGAACCAGTTTATCTGCTTGCTATTCAAGGTCCATGCTTCCCAATGAGCGGGATTCAACGCTATATTATTGAATCTGGTGTTTTTTTTCAAACACAGATTATGGAAAGCTTGACAATGTTTAGGGAAAAATTTCCTATAGATGAAATTTTAAGAGAATTATTACTCCATTTATTAAGTAAATTGTGTCAATACATATTTCCACACTGACTTTGTTTTCACTATAATTCAGTTAAACACCACCGTCTTATTCATTGAAAGTAGAGATTTATATCTTCACTACAACCACTTATGAGTCACTTATCTAGTTTATCTATCAGCCTATAAACATCGTTTTCAACTTTAACTTCATTTCATGGCATATCCTTATACTACATCTGCATACATTTGGACCACGGTGTTAGCGTTGTTGAACCCCTTTCAACAGATTGTAGTGATTTATGCAAAAATGAACTATACGCTGTAGGCAACAAATGTTTTTTAGTCTGAATGGGTTTATTTAATTTCAGCTGGAATTAGATCAACTTACTGCTTACAACTAATCGTATTCGAGTTGTTTACATGTCATGTTGTTTTATTATTATCATTATTTTTTTTCCTTCAATTTTTTTTATCCAACTACAAGTATTAATTTACAAGTAAAAATGGTTACAATATCGTGTAACTAAGCTTTTGATACTGGCATATCAGTTTCATCATGTTCATTTTTAGTACACACATTTAGCTTATTTTGTCTACAGTACAACACTTAGTATTTATGGTATCGTTCATTGTTGTTTTTGCGACTGACTGTGTAAATAACTCGTGAAAGTACACTTTTGGCACCAGTAAACGAACAATTTTTAAAGAAATACTCTAGATTTATGTGAAACTTGTTTAACGTCACTTGTTGCGGCACCACTAGAATTTACGATACATATATGCAGTTTAATTTTGACGAAAATAACTGTTCAGCTTTCCATCTACATAATAATGGGTAACATCAGTTAATGCTTTGGTGTGGAAAACGTTTTGGAACTTTCAATCCCTATTTTGTTTATCTAACAGTGTAGGTGTCATCAATGCAAAAACCATATTTTAAAAAATGAAGCTTTCTTCTTTATTTCTTATTCTAAGACTGTTTTGAAAGCAAACGCGTTTCATTTAATCCAAGTATGGAACATCGTTCTCCTGTTTATAGAGATAGCATAAGATTTTTATCACAAAGATCATGATAAGAACTCTTATTTTTGTTAATAGGAAAATTTTAGTCAGACAGTTTAAGAAAATGTTATTCTTATTAACCCATTTCTTCAAATTCAAAGATTTTACTCTTCTCCCATTGACAAAAATGAATTCAATAAAAAGAAGATCAACATAGCAATTATCTAGATGCAAACTGTGAGATATTTCTTACTCTGTAGATTTAGCTAGTTATTTTCAAACAGAAATTGTATGTATCCCTAGGTGATTAACGCAACTATTGATTAATCGTAAAGTTTCATATCTAATAGTAACACTTCCAAATGTATTTTATAACCTTAAGAACGATTACATTTTTTTATAACTCACGACAATACCTTTTTAAAATTTCAGTTAACTCGAATTCCCTCCGTTTGGTTTTTAACCATCTTACATCTTTTGGTTTTGGCAAACTTTTTGGCCAGTTATATCGTCGAATCAATTGTTGATGGAGTTTCCTTCCGGCGTCGTATACGGCGTGTTCGGCTATCATTATTCCCCAGGTCAGTTATTGACATCATTTCTATGAGGATTCATTTTCGCGATATATACATAGTTTATATACCAACGCAGAAACTAGTTCTCAGTCTCTTGTCAGTATTTAAAACGTTTTCACACGTTCTTCACAGAAGTTTATACTTGAGCTTTCACTTGTACACCATAAGTTTCCATGTTTGATTATTCTTCTGTATTTTCGTAAGTGATTTTTAGGGTCGGTCGCAATACACTGAAGGCATTATTGAGATACATGTAAAAAAAAATTAAGTCATTCATTCTTACCCAATCTGTATTTATATCTCAGTAAAACAGTTATTCAGTTTATTAATTATGATAAGCATCAAAAGATTAGAAATATTAAGCAAGGATAGCTCTACCTAATGTTTGGTTAGCAGTTTGCGTTTCATTGGTTACAATGTCTAAATTATGTACATCAATATAATCAAATATGCAGCAGACTGTTTCCATGAGAGATACATCAGTAAATGACTAAGTTACATCTATTGAGAACACGATTTCGTCTGAGGCAATAAAATCTTTAATACCCTCAATAAATTTAAATATATCATCAGCAGGAAACTTAGTTACTTGCTTCTTAACTGATTCCGGCATTTCAGCCAGACACCGAGCACTGATATGATAAGGAAAACCAGCTATATTGAGAACAGTACGGAGGGGTAATCCTGTTTTGTGAATTTTCGGCATTCCGTACATACCTGCTATTGTGATGCCGACGGGTCGGATGCGTTCATACAAATCTGACGAGAATACGAATTTATTTCCAGTTTCTTTAAAAACTGATTGATTTTCAGTTAGATGCGTTTTGTTCGTTTCACTATCAGGTTTGGTGAATTTCATCTGATCAGAAAGAATCATTGGGATTTTACTGATGTAATCTTGGAGATTCACCATGACAATACCTTTACCTTTGTCAGGGCGGCTTACGATAATATCATCGTTTTCCTTGAATTCTTTAGTTTGGTTTATATGCTGTTTGGTCAAAAGATTATTCGAGCTAGGTTTTGAATTATTAAACTGGTGGCAGCAATCAAGAATTGCTGATTAGAAGTGTTGGAATTCCCGAGGTGATGCGTGTGTGAGAATGAAAGTCTGACTGATTGGATTTTCGAATAGTGTGTACAGTCTGCTGAACTTGAACATAATGTTACAGTACTTAGGGCCCAGCGATTGAGCTGGTAAGTTGCCTTGACTCAGAACTTTACTTCCCAAAAGCCATGATCATAGAAAAAGGTCACCTGAATAGATTTGTTGACGAAAACACGAAAGATAAGCAATCCAAACTGGTCACCAACTCAGTTCTAAAGAAAACTGTCTTCACAAATTTGGAATTCACCGGTGATCAGTCTTCAAATATTCTCAGAATTCATGTAAACTATGTTTGCATTATAAGAATATTTCTTAATTAATGTCAGCATAAACAGTAGGTTTACGTAAGAATTGATAGTGTCTTATACGTGATCGTTAGTTTTAGGATCTGATAAAAATGCATTTCCCTTATTCTCCGCTTTCTTTGTATTGTGATCAAGGCGAGTGGAACGCAAAGCCTATGAGCGTATTCGAGAGGAAATCGACAGGTCAGCTGGTGTATGGCCTCCACTTTTGAGGTCAGCAAGTCTTCAAGCACTACCAAGAGATCTGTTTAGAGATGAAGATATAGACTTACCGATTCGTCCTAGAAGCAGGCGACTTTCGTCTGCTGTATCCAACGATACAGACATTGAGGTTGCTTCTGTTCAAAGTGAAAAAACCGATCGACGGCCACTTCCATTCAGCAGCACAGAATGTGATATTGATTCGCATACAGCAATCGGAAAGTCGTTTTCTAACCTAGCGGAAATAAATGAAAACCAAAATTCCAGCTTCAGTCATGACGTACCAGTAAAAAGACGCAGTCTTTCACTAGTAAGTGAATTCTTGGACGAATATTGAATTATTTGTAAATGTCGTGTTAATTCTATGTAATCTGGATTGTAGCATAACTTCTGCTGACTTGAAGGCATCAGGCATAGGTCCAGTGTTTCAATTGTTATGGTAACAGATGGTCTGATGTACTGCCCAGAAAGAAGTGAATACATTCCTTCACTCCTTTTGCTGGGAATATATTTCATTTTGTGCAGTAAATATTTATATGGTTTGGTATTGATGCCCATACTTATACTGAGTTAATTTTCTATTTTTCATATGAGAAATCATTTTAATCGTACGTAAACTTACACTAAAACCGTTGTATCAGAAATCCCTATGTCATTGACTTTCCTTCTTCTCAAGAGGCAGCTATGTACAGAAGACTGTAGGTGAATTCGTGGTTCTCCTGCAGGTTCTATGTTTGTATGTTGTTTTCTTTTAACATGTAATGATTCCGAAGGAAAAGTCGCATTCATTCATCTGAATAGTAATGTTGGAGATAATAGTACTAGTTTTTTTTTCGTCAGTAAACCAATCTGCTGTCCCTTTTAGTACAAATCGGGCATCGAGTTTCTTCAAGAAAACCAGTTAAGTCAGTTTCGTTTAAAGTTGCTGATAGATTTGCTGACAGCATTCACTGACAGACAGTCATGTCAGAAATGTGATAAGTTCATTTTAGCTTATTTAAAAATTAGTATTTAAGAGACTGTCCCAATTTCAAAGTTCGGTAAAGAAGAAAAAAAATCATCGATTCAATTCATATATGTAAAACGAAGAAGCGTAAATACACTCAGAGAATTGTGATCTTATTTCAAACTAATCAAATCACTGCAAACCAACACTTGACAATGCACATTGTTATGGATAATATTCAGCGTTAATACGAGTTACGTTTACCATTCAAGTAGAAAGATAAATCTGAGCTTTCAAATACCATAAAGCTCATTTCATTGTCAACAATTAATACTATAGTATTTCATACTTCTATCTCCTGACCTTTTCTCCAGTTAATCCTAGATTTTGTTGCCAAATGATTTTTTTTTCCTCAAAGGCCATTATTTTGTAGTCTGGTATATATAGAAACAGTTAATATTTTTCCTATTGTCAAATATTCAGTTTTGTAGTATTGAATTATATCACTTTTATTTAGCATAATGCAGCAATTAAAGTGATAATTCACTTACTTTCTGTTTACATTAGGATTCAAAACATCATTACTCTACTGATGTGTTACCTGATGTGTTTGAAAATTCCAATGTTTCGAGTTCATCGTCAGTTTTACTAACAACTGCTGTCAAAAATACGAATTCAGCTTTGGATAGTAGGGGTGAGGAAGAATCTAAAGGGAATAAGAAAACTGTCGATGAATCATTAACTTAGTTCACTAAAAACAAAATTTGAAGTACTTTGTTAAACAAGAAAATCTACTTCATTCCTGTACACGAAGTTATTTTTTTCTAGTGTTCATAATCACTTAGTGTTTCAGAAGGTTGGTAAACTTAACTTTACCTCTAAATGCCAAAATTGTGTACTTTTCTGTACACTTTCAAGTGTAATGAATAATTTCCAGTGTGTTTTATATAGCTTTGGAAATTTGTCAGTTGCACTTAATGTGATTTGTTTGACCTATTTAAATGCCAAAAGAATATTTAATTATATACTCTCTATGTAGAAAAGCCTAGTTGATTGTGACCGAAAATTTTCTTTCTTGCTCACAACATTTGTAATTAACTTTAATTACTTCTTCGTAAGAGTAATCAGCAAATTGATAAACTTACTAATTCCACTCCTAGCCCAAAATGTAAACTTAATTCACGTTTATTGCCTGTTATACTTTTGCAGAATTTGACAATAAAAGATTTTTATACAAATCCGATTTATTCGAGTTAATCATATCAATTTTCAGGCGTAGTTAACTATTTTCAAATTAATACGCCTTCAGTAGCATTTCTTCTGATTTATTTTAGTTCATTCATAAGCTATACAACTATAGGTTGATCATCTCTGATTATGTTTCATCAAATTTGGTGAGACTAATTATTCACCTGAGAAATTTATCTTTATTTTCCGAGATTCATATCATTTGTGAGTGAATCGTGAAGTAAACATTAGCGTAAATATCTACTAGAAGTTTAGTTAAATAGATGCTGACCTTCAGCATTTAAAAAACTAGTCATAAGAAGTAACTACTCCTGAGGTTACTGTGAAATAGTGTTAATTTTAATTTTAAGAAAACAAAAATAGTTTGAGCAAAGAATATTCTTTTCGATAACTTCGTCCGGCTTCATAATTCAGCAGTAATTGTTATTGACAGTATTGGTGTTTTAAAAATAATAATGACCGGTTACAGCCGATGGCCGTCGCTCTGTGGAATGAAGTAAAAAAACATCCTTGACAAATTAATTGATATGCATCCTGCGATAAAATTTACCATAGAGAATGAAATAAATGCTATTACTTTATTCCTAAACGGTCTTATGACTGGAAAAGAGGAAAGTACAATAAAAAGGATGATATACGGAAAATTTCCACGGAGTGGTCAGAGGACTCACTTTTTGAGCTTCAAATCTTTAAAGTGTAAACATAATTTAATACAGTGTTTGATTCACACAGCGAAAGCAGTCTACTCTAATGAATGCCTTAATGAAGAATTCTATATTATAAAACAATAAACGAGTGAAAATGGTGATTCTGAAAAGTTCATTGACAACCACATGAACACAAAGTCAAGGAAAAGCTAATGTATCAACAGTTCCGAAGAAGACCTTGTTCTTAGAACTTCAGTTGCTTGGTAATAAAATCAGGGAAACGATAACACAATGCCTAAGGAATGAAGTTAATAGGGCATTCAGTGCCGCAGAAGTTCACTGTCTCTCCATAACCATCCTAATTTAACACTCGGGAGTTAAAGATAAACTGCCTAATTCTACCTCATGTGTGTATAACTATCATTCTGACTGCTCCTTTACAGCCGGTTACATTGGGCATACGACTAAGCGTGTATGTCATTGGATTTCTGAACATTGTCCCCCATGGTTAAGTTAGGGAAAAACAAAGTCCATTTGCAGCTCTGTTTAACTCATAGATATTGAACACAATTTCGGTGTTAAGGCTCTCAGAATTATCTACCATAAGCAAATTAATCTCAATTTCGCCGTACGAGTTCGTCTTTTACACATAGCGTAAGTCGTCGGAATTCATCTTAAGAAGCCTAACTTATGTGCTCAAGATGAGTTTGTTTTTGGAGTCTTTCCCCACCTTGGCCATCACTGTTTTAACTATCTTTAATTGTCACTTAAATTTCCTTCTTGATATTAACTGATATATAATTTAGTATAACATTTTTTATGCCTATTATCATATACACATGCTCTTGGACCGTAATTCCATTGATCTTGAAAACTGCATTTTATTTTGAAAAAATAGCGGTATCGTCAATAACGAGGAAGTTACCGAAAAGAATATTCTTTTCCCAAACTTTCTTCTCTGAACAAGGGCTTTCGGTCTTAATCACAGAGCAAACAGCAGTTAAGTTTTATATATTTTACGGAAGAATTTTGCATTTTTCTAGCCGTATCATTCAATACTTTGTAGCAGTTGTCATGATTTAACTGTCATTCCTAATTTAGGGACTATAAACAGACTGTATATCATTGAACCTTTAGATCGTTAGGATTAAAACAGAATATAATGATAATACGAATACCTCATAACGCAGTGATGTCTACATGTGGGTTGTTCAAGAAAACAGTTGGTAGACGTTAAATATTCATTGTTGTTGAATTCCATTCTTGGCAAAAGTTGAAAGACCCGGTCAAAGTCTCAGTCTTTCAACTTTTAATGGAAATTTACTCTTGTTCTCCTTTTTCTTGCTTTAAAGAAAATGTATAAACAAGTAAGAATTTACACAGCATATGGTAAAACAAACATTGATTACATTACTATTGTATTTTGCTATTACATGTTGTTGTTGTTTTTCCTGCAATCGATTGCAGTGTTTTAGATTTATTGTTGATGTTTATTTTATTTTCAAGGAGTCTTCTAGTGTGAATTTCGCCTGTTAACAACAACCAGTGAACATTCAAGTTTCTATACAGGTTACAAATGTCTTTATAACCGAGGTTACTTTGGCAATGGAATTTATGCATTCTAGAAAACAGATGTCCAAGAATTTCAAAAGACGGTGTATACAACGAAAACTACATAAAGTGATTTCGTTCAAATATCAAGTACAGTTGTGTGATGACCAATGTTTACTGTAGAGAGGATTATTGTAAAAATACACTTGAAAATCACATTGCAGCAACATGCTAAAACTCTGTGGGCTGTTACCTGTATTTATGTCTCTCTCTCCACCCCCTCTCTGCCTTCAGTGTTATTGCAGCAGAGAATAACGTTCATCAGTCTACCTCTAATTATATGATCGATTCTCATTCCGAAGGGTTAATTTCACTTGAAATTTTTTTTTTTTTTTTTGGTTTCTGAAATTCAACCATTTTTAAATTCTTTCGAAAGGTCACGATTTCAGTTGGCTTTTTTTTATGGGGGAATGAGATTTCGAGTTTTATTTTAACTTTTTACCGATTTTAAATGAAATAAATTTTGTATTGATGATGAAAATAAATTTGTTTATTATTTTCTTCCTAGTCAGTTCGGTTGGATATTTTTTTTCTTAGCAGTATTACTTTCAAATGTTTTTTAAGACCCAAATGGGATACTGATATATACGTGAGAGTTGAACATTATAACATTATGTAATTCCATGTGAATTCGGTGAATATATAGATCGCACAGTGAAACATTACTATTCACTGAACGATGTTTCAAACACACACACACCTTTGATATCATAATGTGCAATAAACTGTCTTTGAAACATCCTCCAGTGAATAATATCATTTCACAACCAAAAAAAAAAAAAAAAACAACAAACAAAGTCACTTATTTAAATAAAATTACTATTCAAGTTCATTGACAAGGTATGTCAAAGTGGTTTGCGTAGGCTAAATCTCCACTAAGTTATTGTAATGAAAATAATGTGATAGTTGAAATTATTATTGAAGATATTTTAGAATGTTTGAAAAAAAATGACTAAGCAAGTGAAATAAAATCACCTTGAGTTCAGACCGAAAATTAAGGAATGTAGATTGATTTCAATGAATACTTACTTGTCAGTGAGGAACACAGATTACATACAGTGAAATGGTTAAAAAGTTGGATAACTGAAAGAAATAGGATCTGAAACTAGCACTTGTATATGTAATCTTGGTCTCTACAAGTTATTGTTAATGGGAAACAAATGCTTTATCTTAACTTTCATAAGATTTTGTCATATTGTGTGGTTTTTCGCAGTTTAACTTAAGGGAACTGCGTGTCTACTATCAGCTGTTACAATATTGAACTGTTGATTAAAATGTATTCTCTTATATCTCACTATCCAGCAAGTTGGTGTCGTCATAATAGTTATCTAGTGTTCTGCATCGAACAAAAGTATAATTTCGGTGACGAGATCCTCTAATTTACCACATGCAGAATAGTTGTTGATTCGTAATATATTGTAATTTCTCAGCAGTGTGAAATGAAGCATCCCTCAGTGATTAGTTTCATTTACACGCATTTGGCAGCGAGTCATACCAACTGCGTGAGAACTAATGCTGATACCCAGCTGTTCGGGCCTTCGTAGGTAGAGTGATTTCGAACTCTAGGATCTTGTTGCTGGTAGCCGAATCCCTAGGCCGGTGAGCTTTAGTACTAATCAGTATGCTGTAGAATGAATGAAATTATCTTTTATCATAGTATTATTTACAAAAACTGATACTTATATAGAATTATTTGAGCCTTCAAATTAGAAATGGCAGTCAGAATACGCATACAGTTTATCATATCTGCTGGATGCACCACATACTTTTTTTTAAAAATATAACAGTATCTAAACTTGCAAACTATGTGAATCTAATTAGTTTCCAAATGATCTTATAAGTGCAGGTAGTTATTGATAAAACCTATCTACCTCCCTTTTGTTTCCGCCTACATGAATGGATAGAATGGAGGCGGCCGATTTGGATTTGAATTTCTTTAGCTATTCGGTAATATATGGTTTTTTATTGCGTGCTTAGAGTAATGTTGTAACTATATTATCAAGTATTGGTTTTGTAGGGATTTTGTTTGATTGAATGGAGGATTTCATCATGAGCTGACATCAGCAGCACACACCCACCGGGGTTTGAACCCAGGACCTTCTGATTACAAGTAGAGCTCGTAGACCATTGAGCCACTGGGACCCGATCCAATGGTCCTTCAATTCTAACTTCTGCCAATTCACGACATAGCGTGACCATCTCGTAATGTCTTCTTCGATGACTTACTGCCTCATCTTCAACCTGCTGTACCCTGCTGATCACGGCTTCCCACTAGAATCCCAGGTTTACTACCTGAATAAGGCCATTCACTAGTGAGCATCAGATTAATTTTCAAGTATTGGTTTTGTAGGGATTTTGATTAAGTGAATGGATGATTTCATCATGAGCTGACATCAGTAACAATATTAGACATTAAATTTGGCTGTTTTAAAGGTGTTTCATCAACATTTATGCACCTTCAATATCTATTGTGGCCTTTGTTGTACTCTGAACGTGAAGGGCTTTAGATTATTTTACATTCACCTCATAAATATGGGAACTCCGCATAGTTTCCTAGCTCACTACTTTTCAAACCGGTCCCAAATCCAGGTAAAGAGGGTGATTAGCCGTGAAGCTTGTGATCCTACACCAAAAAACCAATCAAACTGCTACAGAAAATTAAACGCACAAGAAATATATTAAACATAGAAAAAATATAAAAAACAAACTTATTCGTCATTGGAATCAGAGCGGTGAAGTGACTTAGCAAGTTGATGAAACCTCGATATAGGACGCTCTGAAAATGATGTCTAAGAGAATGTGTAAAACTGTTTTAGGGAGAGAGAAGAGGAAAGACAAAGAATGGCTCTCTATAGACACCTGGAAGTTGATACAGGAGAGGAAGATGGCTAAAGAGATGACTCAATGCAAAGATGGACAAGAGAAGGAGAAGCCAAGTTCGATGTACATCTGGCTGAATAAAGAAGTGAAGAAGAGTGCAAGGAAAGGCAAAAAACAATTCTACGATACAGTGAAAACTGATCCGGAGACCACAGAGAATATCCTCACACAACTTCTATGAAACGCTCGGAAGGAAGGAAAGGTATGTACTGATTGGAAGAAAGGATATCTTGTCAAACAAGGCCAACAGACGCCTCACTTTGCAAGAACTGACTGGCGTGCAATAATGCTCTTGTACACGCCAAGTAAAATACTAAGTCGCATCATCCTGCAGAGAATAATGGTTGAACTGGATGCAGAACTCCGCCTTCCTCAACGGAGCAAGCTGGATTCAGGAAAGGCAAATCATAACTCCATTATGGACAAAATCGTGTTCGGATCAAATTGATACTCTACCCATAATCATCGAACAGAGCGTAGAATATCAGTCAAATCTCTACGTCAACTTCATCGACTTCGGAAAGGCCTTCTCCCGATAGCCTTGACCGAGAAGTAATTCGGAGACTACTGAAACACCATATAAGTATAAAACTTGGGCACTGTGGTAGAGTATAATTCCATAATGGATAAGATTTTATTTTGATAAATCACACAGTGTAGTACAGTTATATTAACTGATGACGTTTCGAGCACAAACTATTGCTCATAATCATATCATACTGAAACACCATGGCGTGCAGTGCTCAAGTTCTGATCAACCTCATTCAACTGCTATCTATATGACAATGGAACGTGTCAGGGTCACGTAATTCACAACGGAAAACTCAGAGAAGCCTTTAGAGTGAAAACAAGAGTAAGACAAACTGGCTGCCTACTATTTATTACTGATGATATTCCTGATTTTGGTGGACTGAATTATGATGGAGGCAGTGGGAGTGAGGAGACAAAAATACTCTGCACTGACCGATAAGAAGACTCTAGAAGATCTAGATTTCATGGAGGATTTGTTTTTAATGTCACACAAAGACGAAGACTTCCAGACGAAAACCAACAAGTTGGGAGAAGAGTCTGGCAGTGAAGACAGGACTCCAGGTGGACATAGAGGATAACGGAGGTGATGAAGATAAGCAAGCAATCAACTAACAGCAGCAGCAACAACAACCAGTACCAATCAGCATCAACTGGAGAGATTTGACATATGTCACTTCCTTCACTTATCCAGTCAGGAAGCATCGTTTCAACTCATATCAGTCATCTTTAATACAGCGAGTGTACTGATTTTTGTGTATGTCAGTGAACTTGAATTGTCTCTTAAGAAAGGATCTTCAATTCACAAGGAATGTTTTCAGCCTAGATGTATGCTTTAAGGTTCTGAACATCCGCCTTTTGTATGCGACCTCCATTCATTCAATGAATTAAAAATTATAAGGAAAATTAATTTTCTGGACATCAGATTAGGCTGATATTTTCATCTTACTTTGCTACAGTAGTATATAGTTTTACGAATTAATGTGTACTTTCTTGGTTATCGTTTATAGTATCAAGCAGACCAAATACTTTGATCTCCGATCAGTAAGTACCTTTCCTTCCTTCCAATCGTTTTGTAGAAGTGGCGTGAGGATATTCTCTGGGATCTCTGAATAGACTTTCAGTGCTTCGTGGGGAGGGAGAGGAGAATTCCGTCCAATCCTGCTGTCTTCCCAGCTGGCTTTCAGTACTTTGGTCGCATTCAAGATTTCTGCTTTCGTTGGAGGATTGATATCCACTGGCAGTTGAGCGAGTGCTGTTGGCGGTACTTCTGGGCGAATTGCAGGCAGTGGTCGATTCAGGAGTCCTTTGAAGTTATCAGCTCATTGTTTTACTTGTCTGTCTTCTTTGGTAATTAGGTTCCCCCGAACATCTTTTATAAGTTTCACCTACATTTATCTCTTCCCGGAAAGAGACCTGTCATACCTGCTGCCTGCTCTGCTTCAGTTGTCAGTGTGTTGTAGAATTGTCTTTTGTCTTTCCTTGCACTCTTCTTCACTTCTTTATTCAACCAGATGTACATCGAACTTGGCTTCTCTTTCTCTTGTCCATCTTTGCATTGAGTCATCTCTTTAGCCATCCTCCTCTCCTGTATCAACTTCCAGGTGTCTATAGAGATCCATTCTTTGTCTTTCCTCTTCTCTCTCCCTAGAACAGTTTTATACTTTTTCTTGAACATCACTTTCAGAGAGTTATTTCCAGTGTTTTTCAACGTAGATTTACTCATTAAAATTCCGTGAAGTATCTCCGACTTTGCTCTAATCTGATCTGTAGTGAAGGTATCGCTTGTTATTTCGTCCTTCATTTTTTAATGTTGAACTTGAATTATTGCTTGTGTCAAGCTGTTCTGAATTTTTCAGCTTGACCTTGTAGGTTCCTTGAACTAGATGATGAGCCCACATTTCTCTACTTCTCAAATTTGTGTCCATCAGGCTGCATCATCTTCCTGGAACAGGACTGAAATGAAGTCTGTGTGGTTTGTAGTGTGTCTGTCAGCCAAAACCCATGTCGCTGTCTTTGTGTTTGTACAGGCTGCCAGCG